ACAGCTAAAAGGTCAAAGTTTCTAAACTAAAATTAGGAAGACATTAGCTAAAAGGAGCACAAGAAGACAAATAAGGAAGAAGTAAGCTTTATGAGGATTTCAGAGAAGGATTTTTTTTACAAACTAATTCTTTGGGGGAAATTGAATAAACTAAAAATAATAATTCAAAATAATAATAATTCAAAAAGTACAAAGGTCACAAATATTAAAAGTCTGCTTATCAGCTAACAGCTAATAAGGGAACTAACTATTTCATTAGTTTTTTCACTAACTTTGAAAACTGTTATTGGACCAATTAGCTTCCACTAAATTAGGTTTTGCCAATCTTAGGTTTGCTAACAGCTAACTAACAAACTAACATCAACATTTCAGTCCTTCCAGTTTTCAGCTTGAAGATGAGTGATGCCTATGACAGTRGTCTTAGTGGGTAGTAATTAGCTTCAGCTATTTTTAACTTGGATGGCTATTAGCGTTAGCTTCAGCTAAATTTTACCTGACTGGCTGTTATTTCGAAGAGCATTGCATTCACCAAATTAAAAAATAGATTCCTTATCTACAATTATGAGATCAGGATCTCATAATTATAATAAAAGCTCTCACAATTAGGAGAAAAGATGAGGATGTATGTTTTTGAGRAGGTACTGGATGTAATAAAAGTAACTATTGTTTAGAGTTTATGTTCCTCCTGGATGTGTATGTGGCGTAATCGAACGTGCGATGCCCAGATCGAGCTGTTTAATGTTTATCCACCAAAGTTTAATAAAGTTATGATGATACGTACAGGATGTAGTTTAACACATTTCAGTTGCATTAGCTACTTATAGCCCAAGTATCTCGTACTGCAGGAYGAGAGCAACGTCCAGCAGAATGGGCTTTCGCCCAACCAGTGTAATGTCGACATACCGGTATATTAATGCCATCTGTAATGTTTTGTTCTGACTGTATTGAATGGGARTCATTTGTCTTATTTTGAAATATCCAGTTACTGAAACAGGAAATATCACTACAGGTTAAGGAAGTTGAGTGTCGGTGTTGTGTTTTTGCCGAAGCTGAACTAAACTGAACTCCCGTAGACTGGTGTGCAGGTGGATTTATTAATAAAACCTACAGACACAACACCATGATCCACATGAAGTGAACTCAGTATGCGCTAGTGTCTCATATACGTCAAGAGGAAATGAAATCATGCGAAAGCAGTCATTGTTCACTTTTCCTGCAGTGTAGATCAGCTATGACTCTCCTTAACGTATCTCATAATTACGAGATTAGGATCTCGTAATTATGAGATCTTTTCTCAAAATTATGAGATCTTTTCTCGTAATTATGAGATATTTACTCATTATTATGATATAAGATCTCGTAACTATGAGATCCAGATCTTGAAATTATGAGATCAAGCYTTTAAGTTTTTTCTATTTGGTGAATTCAATGCTCTTCTGTAGTTAACATTAGCTTCAGCTATTTATTTTTTTGCTTGATTAGTTGTTTAGTTGTAGCTTCTGCTAGTTATTTTACAAGTTTAGCATTAGCGAAGCTATATTTTTAGATTGTGAGTTAGCCAAGCTAACTTTTTAGTTAGCTGTGCCCACTGGTCATAGCACACTAAACCTGATCAAGTTTTTTGTATATAAATGAGTAAAATATGAGTGAAACAGCACAGATTTTTTTTGTTTAAGCAGCTGGACAATAGAGTGAATGCTGCCATCCTCACAGCTACATTATGACTCAGTATCTTCCTGTGAGCTGAACAGAACTGCCACCGTTGACCACTCTGCCCATGTGACAGCTAGACCAGCAGACATGTGGCCGAGATGACCCTTTCCACGTGAAATCTAAAACTTAAAAACTGATTTCATCATATCGGGTTTCATCATGTCAGCTCAAACAAGCTTGGAGAATCACTGTCCGAACTCGTTATCATCACAGCTATTTTAAATGAAAGCTTCAGGAATAACCAAGTGACTCACTGCTGTTTGATTAAACAAAAACAAAAACTGAAGCTCGATTTGTCATAACAACACCTTCAAAAAGTGCTGTGAAGTGGACACAAACACGTAGTTAAAAGATATATGTGTAAATTGAAGAGGAATAAACAAAACTCTTGACTTCATAAACAAAAGAGGACAAAGAACAGGAAAAAAGGGAAGAAAAACTTGAAACCAAAGCAAAACTAAAACCACAGTTTCTGACAGGAGCAATAATCACCTGACATTTTTAAATGCCAGTGACTCTGGAAGCTCAAATTTTATTTACTTTTTATTATTGACCTAACATGAACAACTGACGAGAACTTCCTAATTGTTGTTTACAAACTTGCGTACCGTGCGCATCTCTCTGTCTGAAGGCAGATTGCAACACTTCGGCTCTCTCTGCAGCCCAGAGATCCTCCCGTGTTTGGACCCGCTCCATCAGGTCCGGATAAAAAGGCCTGTGTAGGTTTCCTTATCGCTTGGAGGCCTTCTCATCAGTTTACGACAAACAGAGAAGAAAAAGAGGTGGACAAGGGTTTAATGTGCCCATCTGCTCTCTGCAGGCTGGTTTCCCTCAACCTAACACTGCTGATACCTTCGCTTCTGTTGTTTTATTCTTCTTAATGTCTTAGTTCACCAACTTTGAGTGCAAATCAACAACCTACTTCTGCGCAGAGGGAGAGCTTCTGCACCCAGAGGAGGAAAAGAAGAAAAAAAGGGAAAAAACCAAATGTCCTCCTTTTCTCCGTCTCACAGCAGCGGTGCAGAGCTGCCCCCGTTTTTTGAGGTTCTGCAGCACATTCGGGGTGCGTTCAGATATTTAGTTTTCTGCTCTGAGCTACATATTTCCCAGCGGTTGAACGATCTGTTGGTCTGGAACCGCATCCACCACTTTAGCTCCGTGGCTGTGCAGAAACCCTTATTTGTCCTACTTACTATATGAATCTCTTTCACATGTATCCACAGGCTCTGCAGGCATGATGCTCTGGCAGCGCGCTGATTTGATTTGGCAGTATTAGGGCACGATTCTTGCTGAATGCCCTAAAATTGAGCTTTTCCTCGTGGCCTCCCATCACCAAACTGAGTCTCTCTTCTCAGTAATCACTGTGGCGACCCCCAAGTCACTGCTGCCAGCACTGAGATCTGTTGTTGACTAGTCACYCTGATGCTCATTTAGGGTGTGGAGACACCAGGTTTCCTTTTATCATGAGCTTTAGTGAGATCTGCAGATTTAACTGGAGCAACAAATAAAACCATAAAGTCTTGYCATTTGTCTGACCCGGTTTGATATGCTTATATCTATTCCAAAACCAGCTACTTATCTGATAAATGACAGGCCTGCACGATAACTGAGAGGTAAATGAAGAGGAGACTACTAATATGTGTTATGGCTGAGCACTGCTAACAAACACTAACTGAGCTCTACCTGGTATTTKCTGCATGGAAACAGCGWTTTAACACGTCTTCTTGTAAACACTGAAAAGTAATACGTGTACGACTGACTAAATGTGAAATAAATAATACAGAAATACTATTAAAAGTAAAAGTTTTACTCACTTTTGAGTTGTGGTAATTCTTGAATTCTGAACTCTCCCGCTTTCCGACAAGGAATTCCCATCTAGAGTRGACATGCATTATGGGAGATGTAGTTRATGGTCAATGCTGGCTTTAAAGCAGCTTGAGACATTCATACAAGGTTATTCAACTAAATTGCAGGGGGGCTACAGTTACTAAAAGACAACAGCTCAGGGGCTGGACAAGTATTACTATCTTTCACCTTTTGAATGTGTTAATTTTGTTATATTGACTCATAATTCAAAGTATAAATACTTTTTTCATTTTTTAATTAAGTAAAAAAAAATGTTTTTAATTTAACTAACTTTTACTTTTTAAGTGGCGGAATGGAAGCCACCCATGGGCCAAATGCGTCCCTCGAYCCTTGATTTTGACACGTGTGTTAAAAGATTAAGTATTTRCTTATTTGCAAAACCGATACCGAAATATAACCTCACTAGATGCCCAACAGTCGTCGTTTTTACGCAGTGGTTAGATTGTTTTTTCATGTAGGAGTTATAATATTCTGACTTTATTCCTATAATTAAAATAAAAAACTCTTAGTCTGAACCTAATGCTTCGTTGTAATATTGTGTATATGTTTAATATCTATGCTTGACGTTATGTTAAACATTAAATTCTATCTAATACTGCGTTAACACCGAATGCGATTTCACCGTCAAAAACACGTTNCTCTTAGTCTGAACCTAATGCTTCGTTGTAATATTGTGTATATGTTTAATATCTATGCTTGACCTCATGTCAAACACCAGTAAATTCTGTCAAAGGTACACCTGTCAATGGATGATGTTGCTTATGAACTTTGTATGTCAACCATTTTTCTTGTTTTTTATATTTAAAGCACGTGTCTAATAAATCGAGCGACCAGCCTAGTAGTGATGGGAATTTTGTCTCTTTTCAGAGAGTCGGCTCTCGTGGAACAGCTCCGGACCCTTAACTCTCAAACAGCTCTTAACTTATTATCATCTGTAGRCTCATGCTTTAGTTTAATCTGGCAAATATAAATAGTTTGTGTGTTAATAAAACCCCTCATTTTTAGTGTTGTTAAGAAAAGCCTTTTTAATTGCCGGCTTCTCTTGATTCACTTCTGATATTGACATCACTACAGCAAAGGCGTGCTAGACGTCAGCCTCTCCAATGCTAACAACAGCCTATCCATGGTAATTGAAAGCAGAAGGAGTAGGCAATCCAGGTGACCAGCCTAGACATGCTAGTCTCTAGCTTCTCCATTGCTAACACATATTAATCTCCTTCTTATTTGCCGTAGCTGCCTTTCAGTTACCGGTGCAGGCCCATCATTAGTCAGATCAGTAGCTGGCTTTGGAATAGATATAGCCTTTTGCTACAACCCACCGATGGTTGCGCAATAGTCTTAATTTTGGCCGTCATTATCAAACCAGGTCAGAAATACATCATAGTTTGAGCCGTGCAGTAACGTGATTTATATGTTTGCAGGTCTGATGGGCAGCTGTTACTTCGCCGGCTCCTCCCAGAACTACAGCACCCTGCTGCTGGAGGAGGAGGCAGGGCTGCTGTACGTGGGGGGCCGAGGGGCTCTGTACGCACTCAACACCTCCAACATCTCCTCGCCTGCAAACCTCACAGTGAGTGACCTCCAGTTACTCCAGAAACAGAAAATCCAATTTTGCACGTTTCAAGAGGAGGATTGAAGGAGAACAAACTAATAATAGCCCTTAAGCGGACCGAGTAAATCCCATTGTGTTCCCCCAGTTTTTACAGATATTGGCTTAAATGCACCAGGCGTTTATAGAAAGGGTTACTGAAGACAGGCAGAATCTATTGATGCAGCCAGAAAATTAAGTGTGCTGTCCTTCTATCCCCTCTTTCTGTTTATTCAGACGTTTGTTTCCCTTTATTTATCTCTCCCATCCAGTCTATCTGTACAGCCTATTAATCACCCTCCCCTTCTTTTTTATTTATTGAACTGACTGACTCATTCCTATTACACCCCATTGTTTCCAGATTGATTGGAACGCTTCCCCCGAACAGAAGAAGCAGTGTCTCAACAAAGGCAGAGACAATCAGGTACAAACKTGCAACCTTGCTCTCAGTTTTTATGATTTTATCTTTAGAAAAGTCTTTTCATCCTGTTACTGAGAAGAAAACAACACCAAATGCAMGAGGATAAGCTTTTCATTTGCCTTGTAGATTTGTTTCAAAAAGTCAGGGTGAACATTTAAAATTAAAATTATTTGCATTTATTACCTCCCAGCATGCGCTGACCTTTATTGTTTTCCACTGTTTTCTGCAGACGGAGTGTTACAACCACGTCCGCTTTCTGCAGCGATACAACGAAACTCACCTGTACGTGTGTGGAACCAACGCCTTCCGACCTCTCTGTGCTTACATAGTAAGAGCTCACATGGTTCAGTGCCGGAGTAGCTGCGAGTCAAACTGAAATGAAAAGAATAAAGTGGGGTTATTTTTTAAATTTTTTTTTATCTCCTGTAAGGACGCAGAGAGGTTCAGCTTCTCCTCTGGATTTGAGGAGGGCAGAGACAGGTGTCCTTACGATCCGGCGAAGGGACACACTGGTCTTCTCATTGGTACGTCTCCATCATGTCTCTTTTTTTAATCTCACATCAGATTAAAAAGAAAAAAAAGACAAACTGCAATTTAAAGTTGCAACTAGACAGCATTTTGAAGTGGTGTTCTGTGATAAGGTTATCAATATCTTACCTGTTGTAGATGGCTTGGGACATATATATATGTGTGTGTGTGTGTGTGTGTGTGTGTGTGTGTGTGTGTGTGTGTGTGTGAGACATTAGTACCAAGCTAATATTATTAGCATTAGCTCCAGGGTTAATATTATTAGCATTACATTGGGCACTAACTCCATATATGTATTATTAATATGTTTGTGGCGTTAGCTTCCGAGCTAAAAATAATAGTGTCAGCTCCCAAGTTACTATTATTATAGTTACTTCCTGAGCTAATGGCGCTAACACAAAAGCCAACAGGCTAATGCTGAGGTTCTCCTTCCATGAAGCGGGTTTGTTGTCTTCTAATATTTTCAGTTTCATGCTGCGTCAGCTCTACATTCTCTCTGTCATCTCACTCTGGCTTCATTTAAAAAGGTTGATTGTCAGATATTGTCCAAAATTAATGTTCAAGCTGGGTAGAACTTGCTTTCTCACATTTGAGCACCAAGCATTATTATTTAACCCAGCATGCTTTGCCYTGCAAATTACATGGCGACGTCCATGTGACAWTTTATATTTTAATTTATAAAAGCTAAACAGCCTGCAGTATTTTGAGTCTTGTTTTTATAGTTGAAGTAAATGTTTATCAAATAATGTCCAATATTCCAACTAGTCAGAGTTCCTTTTATCCTTAAACCATCATCAGTTCTGGGTAGAATTAGAAAATTCCTGCAGGAAGTGCCCCCAGCTATCTGTGAGTGCGCTGTTTGAGCCAATTAAACATCGTCTTGGTGCTCTACCATCCCCATACCATCGTTTTATGATGAGTTTTACTCATAGATAGGCCTAGGAAGGATGAACTAGGTGTCACTTCTTACAAGTAATCTAGTMTTTAACTCAGTAGGTGCTGTAGTCTTTCCAGTACTCTTTAGTTAAATTTTTTTTTTCTGTCAACAGCAATAAGAATAATAATTTCAACCTATATGTTGTAGCTTTTCTCCTCATAATTCTGGTCATTTTTAGGCCTTCTTTAATCAGTGCTTAGACAAGGATAACTGAGCTTCTGTCCACACTGTACACAAATTCGGTATTTTATTTTATAAAATGTTTTGATTTATGAATAATTTTTTGACAGCATGAGGTTAACACAAAAACAACATTGCAATATCATTGCTTTAATGATTTGTAAACTAATATGGCATAATGTTGTTAAATGCAATAATGTGTCCTTTGAAGTGGAGGTTCTGATCATTTTAACAYTTAAAGGCAAAACATTGGGATTCTTGGTTGAGTTTAGGGCTTTTTTTCAGAAGATGCTGCGTAGCACCTACCAAGATGGCGGCACAAACTGTGATTGGCCACTTCTAGTTTTCCCATTTTATTGGTCTCTCTAATGATCTAAAGTGTCATGTTTGGCGTCTGCAAAGATTTATTTTCAAGTTTATACTTTATCCAGACGTGTAAAGGTGTATAAACATGCTAAAAACATGTTAACTGTGACGCAGTCCAGTTGATTGTTTGTTTTGTTTTGATTGGTTTAAATAGACGGTGAGATGTTCACGGCCTCTCAGTACGAGTTTCGCAGCTCGCCGGACATCCGCAGAGTCTTCCCTTTTCCCACGCTCAGGACAGAGGAGGCTCCCACCCGCTGGCTTCTTGGTAAATAATCCTCAGAATTGATGGCGATTTGCTAAACAGCAGTGCTAAGACACTGATTTATACAATTTATTTTCATTTAAAGTTAATAGAAACGGTTTCTGTCGCTCGGGTGGTAAATGAGACGCATAAAAGATGCACTGCGCCYCAGCTCTTAAATGTTTTTTTTTACTTGTTGTGATTCAGTCAAACACAAAGCTTCATTTTCAGTTTCCAAGGAGACACTTTTCAGACTGCTAATATCTGTGTTTGGACATGTGGATCTGTGTGTGTGCGCGTGTGTGTGTGTGTGTGTGTGTGTGTGTGTGTGTGTGTGTTCAGAGGCAGATTTCGTGGGCTCTGTGCTGCTGAGGGAGAGCATCAACAGCTCCGTCGGCGACGACGACAAGATTTACTTCTTCTTCACGGAGAGGAGCCAGGAGCAGATCGCCTACCCGAGCCAGACCAAGGTGTCCCGGGTCGCCCGAGTCTGCAAGGTCAGAAACCCCCCGAAACTGGGAGTGACCGTAATCACTTTTAACGCTTTCACCGGGAGATTAAGCCCAACAAAGACAGATTTGCAAACCCCTGTTCCTGAAAGGTCATTGACAGAAAGCCCGAGATGAAGGAGGAGGAAAGATGCCAGACGTCCGCGTGCAGAAATCACGGGATTATCTGACGCTTTATGTCAGCGATGCAGGGTGAAATGAGCTGCCACTCTCTGCTCTGACAGTAATTTCAGTGCTGAATGAAGCAGCAGTTGGACGCCTCGAATCCCAGTTTTTTCACTCTTTCTGCGACACTGTTTCCAGGCAAACTACGAGCCATATTGTGCCATCGAGACTGCAGTTTCTGTGATCAAAGAAGTGACCAGAAGCCTTTTTTTTTTGTAGGGAAGGAAAAAAAGCTGCTGAACAAGTCCAGACACATTTGCCTTTGTAGGATATAGGATTTATCAGATTTATTTTCTTAAAAAATCATAAAAAAATACCTCAATAGTGCACAGTATTTTGAGTAAATGATTTTGGGTTAAATACCCATCAGCCAATTCCCATAAATTTCATCTCATAAACAAGCTGAAGTGTTTCTTGTAAAACAGGAGCCTTAAACTTGACATTTTTTCTTTAACCTTTCATTTTATGCAGTGTTTATGCAACTCATATTCTAGTAAAATATTTGTTTACATTTAAATCAATTATTAAAAATATTCCTCTAAAGCTGCACATCATGGCCTTGTCTCCTTAAGGCCTGAAGCTTGAATGCAGCAAATATTTCATTGTAAAGTGGGCGTATGAGCAGAAAGTAGTAGTTTCTACTTTATGCTGTCATAAAGAGCTCCATTACGTTGCATCTCTGTGATGCTCTCGTTATTCTGTGTCTTGAATAAAAGAGAATCAAGCTAAATTATGGAGGTAAACATGCAGCTGCACAGTGTTTAAATGTCAGTTTTGCACCAAAAAGTTCTTAGTTTAAAAAACTTTCTTGAAATCTTTTTAAACAAACTGCCAACATTTTGGTATTCTCTTGGTTTCCCTCCCCTCAWAAAAAAAGGAAAAAAAAAATAAGTAATTTCTATAAAAAGGAGCCCTTTTTATCTGGCTTCATGGGTGCTGTGTGAAGTTGTCAGAACAGTCGAGGGCGTAATAACTCAGACCGAAATAGGACGCGGCAGAAAATGCAGATGTCGAGCCGGTCCCCAGCCAGCTCTGCCCCGTGGCGAGCCAGACGCCACGCTGGCTGCAGGAAGCGCTGCGGATCGCAGCGACCGGCGTTCGCCTCTGGCCCCGTAAGACTTGCCATTTCAGCAACCGGAGCTCTGTATCTTCGCCGAGTTCACCGCCAGCCGTGACCTATTTTTGCAGAGACGGAATAATGACACGAGTGAAAGGAGCTTCCGCTGACCCCGAAAGCCGACGCACCTTATTAACGTTGGATGTTTGGATGTTTCCGTATATCTCTAGCAGAGAAAAGCTTTTTTTTTCTATAACTGCAGCATGATTTGCAATCTTGACTCTAGGCATTTATTATACGTTCCCTCTTACTCCTGCTTTGACTGACATAAATTATAATCTGCCAGCACACCCCTTAAGCTTTGTGCTCAATAATAACAAGAATCATTTCAATGTAAAAAAGCTGATTTTCCCCTGAAACTCTGTTTTAGAAAWTTTTTTAGGCTTGTTAGAAGGAAATTCATCTGATGGAAACATCCTAATGTTTTGTACGTGTGTTGATTTTAGCTACTTTTTTCAGGAGAGGGTTTGTGTGTGTGTGGGAGGTTGAGGCAGGCGGTGCATTTTGATGAATGGCAGATGTCCCCCCAAAGACACAAACACAGAAAGATGAGGCTGTAAAGAAAAAAAAGAAAAAAAAAGAAAGCCTCCATCTCTGTTCTCTTTGCGAGGTGCACTAAATGACTCTTTTTGCCGAGACGCAGCTCGCTGCCTCCCGCTGCAGCTGAAATGCAATTAGAGGAAGTAGTCACAGTCTGAGCTTCCACATCCACCTCCGCTTTCAGAAGCCTTCCTTCACTTTTCCCTGATAACGTGTCTGTAATCATCTGTGTCGCGCATTCTCTCTGTCCCGTGTGCCTCGCAGACTGACTGGGGAGGACAGAGGACCCTGCAAAGGAAGTGGACAACCTTCCTCAAGGCCAGGATGGTYTGTTCGGTCCCAGAATACGAGCTGCACCTCAACATCCTGCGCGACGTGTTCGTCCTGCAGGGGAGAGACGCTCAGAGCAGCGTTTTTTATGGCATCTTCGGTCTGGAATGGTAAGAAATGGTCTTGATGTCGCTGGGCTGTGCTGTCGGAGACAGTTGGCGACTCAAAATTGAGAGAAAATCAACAAATTTTCAGTACCAGTCTTAGGAAACTCGGAGTGTTTGAAACCAAGTGAGCATCAGACAAGTTTTGCACGGCTAGTTTAGAGGGTACACAGCTTTCATAACTGCAGTCTAAGCTASCTTTGATCACATTGTACACTAATGGCCCATTTCCACGAGTGGTTTTCCATTACACTCCACGTAACTTCACTTCAGAGACTTTAGACGAGTTTGAGACATCGAAACTGAGAAAATGTGGAAATGAATTTGAGAAGTTTGCAACAGAATTCAAAAGGGTTCGAGATGCCTGTGACAACTTTGCAACTATTTTGAGACTCACGCGAGGAAATGTTTCGAGTCATGCGGAGACTCRATGAACGTCGTCTCCCAAATAATCAACAACAGCTGCAGCCCAGAGAGACAGTGAAAGGACAGGAAATGATTCATGAGTTGTCMTTGAACTGATTGAATGATTTATTTTCTGTAATGGAATGAAACTCTGTGTTAGGCTGCGTTAAGTTGTTTCGAAGTGGAGTTTGGCAGATTGCTGCGAACAGAAAATCTTCCGTCAAACAGAAGCACGGTGAGTGTTTAAACTGTCCCCGGGAAGGAAAATCTCTTAATGCCACTCACTGATTTCTGTTTTCGTTTTCAAGCAGTAATATTTCTTTTTATTGCATCTTTGAAGAGGCCAGAAGCATGTAAGGAAAATTAAAGAACAACAACTGAGTCCTCACYTTGAGATTTTCCTAAATTTAAATAAGATGGGTAAAAGTAGTTGTTTAAAGCAGACACAAAAAGCAAACAATACATACAGATGAGMGATTTTAGATGTAAATGCCAGTTTCCAATAATTTTGTTTTGATCTCTCTAAGAGATTTAAAAACATGAACAATTTCTTGTTGCTTTAATGTCAACAAGGGTTTAAATGGCTTTTTGTTAGTTAAATGGCTTAATAGTTAAGTTTTTGCACATTTTTATGACTAAAAACACTAATTAAGGAACTCTTTTTCAAATTACTTGTTTTTTTCTTTCAGGCTTTAAAACAAAGATTGCATAAATTAAGTCAAACCAAGATGTTTTGAGGTTAAATAAGTGTAAAAGTAATTACCTGATCATAAAAAAAATCACCTGTTTTTGTCTCAAAAGGGAGCTGTTGTGAAGCTCAGAGATAATATGGGAGTGTGTTTCTGCTGATGTGCAGAGTCATGGTGCAGGAAAACGTCCCGGAGGTGTTCAGATCCTGGCTGGGGGGAGGACAGCATTGCGATGRGACGTTAAAGTTTTTAAAAACATTTCTTTTAAATGAAAACGTGCACCTGTGTGAGTACGGCTCAAACACGCCGGAATGAGTAAACCCCTCGAGCAACGCCATTCGACACTTCTGAAGACTCCCGTCTCGTTTTTCCTCACATTTAAAGACTCAGGTGGGAACACAATAGATCTCAATGTGACGAAGACCATTACCCCCACCCCCACCCCTCCTCACCCCAGGTGCTAATCTCCCCTTTTGGCATCAGACTACGAGTCACCTGGTTCCTGACTACCTGTTCCAACTCCTTCCTTTCACAGGTGTGGCACCAAAAACCCACAAATAGGGCATTTTTATATATGACTCACTGCAACTGGGTTATTTTAGTTCGGCTTCCTCCTGGTCCGGATAATAGGTGTAGGAAGGAAAAAGTGACCATTAAAATCAAAAAACTCCCATCATGACACACAGACACGAGCTCAGTCCTGCCTTTTTTTTTTACTCATCATTGATGATTTGAGATGTGTCTGAAATTGGATCTCGGCWGTGGTTTTCGTCTTAGATCTCTCCGTGTCGCTCCGTCTCTGAATCATTAATCCTGAGTGTGTCCTCTGGACCTGTCTTTGGGGTGTTGGGTTATATTTCAGGAAGAATATCAAAGCCTCCGCCATCTGCCAGTACGCCTTCTCAGATGTACATAAAGTTTTCGACGGGCCGTACATGGAGGTGCAGGATTCAAAGTGGAGGGAATACACGGGAAAAGTCCCGGAGCCGAGACCTGGATCTGTAAGTTTCATTGTTTTGTTCTKCGTWCATCAGATTAATTATTTTCTTTTCTTTTTTCATCCTGGTTTAATCAAACGCAGCYATTATTTCTGTGTCCACAGTGTATAACAGATCTGCACAGGTCACAGAGCATAAACTCGTCTCGAGACCTTCCAGACAGCGTCCTCACCTTCGCCCGGAGGCACCCGCTGATGGCCAAACAGGTGCACCCGCTCGGCAGGAGCCCCCTCATGTTCAAGAGGAGCGTCAACTACGTCAAGATCGCGGCGCACAAAGAACCGGCGCTGGACGGAAAACTTTACACTGTTTTGTTCCTGGGAACAGGTGACGTTCGGGCAGATCTTACGGCYAATAAAAGCMTTGMMTTTTTTTTRCGTTTGTTATCGTAACGTGTTTGTCTCGCAGACGACGGATGGCTGCACCGAGCCGTGGACATTGATGGAGACGTTCACATCATTGAGGAGTTGCAGATGTTTGACAAACCGCAGCCGGTTGAGAGCATGGTCATATCCTCACTTCAGGTGATTACGAATAACGGGAATTCTTTAGCTTCCAGTCTAGATGACAGCTTTAATACTAAACGACTGTTTACGTTTCGCTTCACAGAGGAGCGTCTACGTTGGCTCCCACTCCGGAGTTGTTCAGGTGCCGATGTCAGCCTGTCAGAGGTACACTTCCTGTTACGACTGCGTCTTCGCCAGAGACCCCTTCTGTGCCTGGGATGGGAGAGTGTGCGTGGAAATATCATCACGTGCACAAAAGTAAGACATTTTCTGTTCTTTCTTCTGTTTCCAAACACATAAACGGATCAATCCTGGGTTAAAATATATGTACTGAAGCTATAAACACAAAATTTAAAGCTTTTACAGAGTTTTGGTTGTTTTTTTTATGTCCTCCCTCTGGACCAACAGCAATATCAAAGCGTAATTAATTATTTATACCAGCGTCTCTACTCTTCCAACACAATTTCTGTGAAAGCAGGTCTAAGACAATGTAGCTGACCTGGATTTCCTTCATCAGCTCTCTGAAGCTCAGCGGGAGCCTCAGCTGAAGTGGATCTGAAAGTTTGAAGCCCCTAAAACATAAACACCTGGATATGATTCCTTAAATAACTAAGTGGCACTAAATAATCTACTATATGAACTTCATCAACAATGAAAATAGACAATAATAAATAAAAGGCTTTTATTTTAGTATATATTTTGGTATTTTAGTACTAGTGTTTTGCTAAGCTCATTATATTTGCATACAAAGTAGATATTTTGCAACCAAGTCTAGTTTCCCTTTTGTTGTATTTAGAGGAAGCTAAAGTTTGTGGTGTTCAGTCGGATTTAAAGGATGAAGCCCTTTATTTTAATCTATAAATTATCAGGTAACGTTAACCATAACATTTCACTGCTGCCCTCAAGTGGCTAAAAAGTCACAAACGGCTGTTTTATTTGATAAAAATCAAGGCAGAGTTCAAAAGTATGAAAATAATGAGGCTACAACAAATAATATTATTTTTTTGTTTTTTCCCCCTCAAWTTTCTCCCCGGTGGCAGGAGGAGGCACTCAGTGATTGGTTCTTTTTTAGGGCTTTAAAGTATCTTTATGAGAGATTCTGTTTGTTCCTGTGTCATTTTATATCAATGGCTGCTGGCTGTTTGAATTTCCCTTGGGATTAGTAAAATATCTATCTATTTACCCATCCATACAGAGAAGTTTGCACGATTGCTACCMCAATTCGGCATTATGGACTGAAATAGCATCGTTTCTGAAATTGTTTTGTTGTTTAAAATGAGCTGAAATTAAAGTAAAATGAGAAAAAAATGTTATTTGCTGCAAAAATACAGTGAATGACTTGAGTGAAAATTTGTCAAATGAGTTGAAACTGATGAAAAAAATTAAAACACTAGCTAAAAAGATGCAAAAACAACCTAGCTAAAAGCTAAAAGTAGCAAATATCTGACTAAAAGCAACAAAATAACATCTAAAAGTAACTAAATTCACTCTTATAATGAGATTGTGAAATAGTTATGGTTGTTTTTTTTCTGACTACACACACACACACACACACACACACACACA